TTGGGACCAGGCAGGCATTAGAAAGCAACGGCTTTGATCGGGCAGGCAGTCAGAAATGTTCTTCTAATGCCTTTAACTGTGATATATTTAATTTTCACTCGAAACGCGATGAGTCGAATTTTGAGAAAAATTTCAGTCGATTCTTATTTGACAGGCGCTATTTGGCAACTGATTTAGGTAGACAGGCATTCGAAATCATACTTGGGGGTGTCTGTTCTATGTTCACACAAATTTTCATGCAAAACGCGATGAGTCGGTTTTTGCTTTTTTAAAACCTCGTTGAACATTTTTTTATTAATAAACGCAACCTATACGAGCAGGCAGGCACGCGATTTCGTATTGTTCATGATTGATTCTACATTTCCTAAATTTTTCAGCCATAATAAAATCAGCCGGAATTTTTTTCACTGGCTCTTGTACTAATAGAATGCAAGCCTACAGAAATTACGCCAGTTTAAAATGTGTGCTGCTTGTGTTGCCAATGGGCAACACACGGCCTGTGGTAAATATGATTGTGTATAGCAAGGCTGATACACATGGCAGCCAACGTCTTAAATTTTCTTTTTAAAAAAAAAGGTGTATTTACGCCCTAAAAAAACACAAGTGAACTACTTGGAACAACTTAAACTTTATTCTTTACAAGTAAATTAATTCATACCTACGTAACATGAAGCTGTTAATGTGACAAATTAAAAAAAAAAAAAATCAACATGTTCGTTGTGTTTTATTATTGGCGTGGACCCACTACATAAGTCGATAAGATCTTTATATTTTTCAGCAGATATTTTTTGACCATTGGGATGATTCAAGGGAGGTGGTAACGAAGAAGGATTAAGAGCTGTTCGTTTTAAGCTAAAATACCTATAATCTTCCTGCAAGTGGCTATTTTTAAAATAAATATTTTTACCATTACTTCACGTACATTTTTCCAGTCAACAGAATTTCCTGCGTCGTCTTTTCTTACCGAAAGGATTTTGAGATCGTGGGAAAGTTTTTTAAAATTTATGAAGTCATCGGATGTTAGTAAGTTGACGATGTACGGATTATTCTTTCTAGCGAGTTTTAAAATTGGTCCCAACTGGGATGGTAAAAATAAATCACTTTATCTTTTAACAGCGTTATCAATGGCGCTGTGTGCAGAATCACCTTCATTTTGACCTGATATGGTTCGAAAAAAGAGAAAGAAATTGTTGTTATATGTGCTGATGAACTTACCACATGTAAGAACATAGATATAACAATAGAATCTTTATTTTGGCCACTACAGCTGTCTGAAAATAAATTTACATTTGTAATGCCATCAGCGTCGAGAAGATTCAAGTATTTGAACAAGCAGGTAGACATTTCATTAGAACCTCTCTTACTCAAACCCTCATGCCACAAAAAACAATGACAGTCTTTAGTCTTAATGTCATACACAGTCAAATTATAATTCTTTAACGATCTATATAAACAATATTTATCACCTGAGCATTTACAACAAGTACGTAATTACAGGAAGCAGTACAGAAAAGCTCTCAGGACTATACAAAAAAAAAAAATAACTACAATGATAGACTTATTGAAAAATGAAAATTCTAGTAACAAATCAAAGACTATTTGAAAAATAATAAATAATAATAGCTCTTCTGATAATATTCCTTCAAATTGAACACCTAATCAATTTAATGATTTTTTCTCGAATATAGCACAGAACTTTTTTTGCGAAATGAAACTGTTTCAATTAATGACATCACATTTCAGCCAGAATGGGACACACATATACCTTTGGTGTTTAGAGAACTTGATATAAATGAAGTTAGGGACATCATATCTAATCTGAAAAAAAAAGACGCCAAAGTTATTTTTGGACTAAATGTTAAACTCATTTATGAAACGCGAATTGTTAATAGCCACTCTGACTAAACTAATACACTTATGCTTCAAAGAGTCTGTGTTTCCCACCTGCCTTAAACAAGCTATTATTGTCCCGATATACAGGGTGTATCATTTAAAACGAAACAGGCTGAATATCTGATGCCACTTTCATTTTTGAAAAAATTGCTCGTATACGCAATTTAATTTTCAAAAGGGGAAGTTTTTTACAACCATTTTTCGCACTTCAACTTTAACCCTCTAGGCGGGGTGGGACCAACCCTTAATATTTCAAATGGAATAAGGGGTCGAGTGGTACCTCTTTTGAAAGAGCCTTCAATTCTCTTTTATTTGATGTAATTTTAAATGAAATTGAACGCTCTCTTGAAACAGGTATCACTCGACCCCCTGTTCCATTTGGAATGATGAGGGTTGGTCCCAACCCCCCTAGAGGCTTAAGTTAGTGCTGAAAATGTTTCAAACACTCACACAATCAAATTACGTGTACAAGCGAATTAAAAAAATAAAATAAAAGTGACATCAGATATTTAGCCTGTTTCGTTTTAAATGGTATACCCTGTATAAAAAAAGGAGATAAACAAGCAATATCTAACTATCGTCCAATATTATTACTTCCTGTAGTCTCGAAAATATTGGAAAAATGTTTGTCTGTGCAAATTGCTGATTATGTAGAGAAACACGAAATGCTGAATGAACATCAATTTGGTTTTCGCGGGCACGGAGTACCTACTGCGTTGGCTGTCCTGGACTTGGCGACCTTTATAATGGAGGGCTTCGAAAGGGGGGAACATGTCGGCACAGTGTTCTGTGACCTGAGTAAGGGGTTCGACCGTGTCTGGCATGAACGGCTCATCAAAAGATTTTCGTATTATGATTTTAGCTTAGACTGCATTAAACTATTGAAATCTTATTTAGATAATAGAACACAACGAGTTATGCTCGATGGAGTGTCATCGGATACTAGGCAGATAAATATTGGATTTCCTCGAGGGTCTGTTTTGGGTCCTCTTCTCTTTTTACTTTACATAAATAATTTACCCAGAGTGGCTATCAATGAACATGTTTTGATATTCGCGGAGGACACTACCATTTCTGTAAGAGCAACAGGCTTGAATGACTTGGTGCAGGGGATGCACAGTCGCGAGCAAAATTTTGGTTTCAGCATAACAGTCTCTCATTGAATGAGGTTAAGACTCATCATATGCTGTTCTCCCTCCAGGAGGCATTTTTGTATCGAGCGCCCAGTATACCGCTTTCGGGTAACATCGTATTAACCGAGGTCTGTCTCATAACGAGCGTCTGATTTCCCGATCGATTGTCAAACTACCGTACGCTTGATACTAGTCCTGCGAAATTATGGATCGGCGTCCAACAATTCAGTATTTTTTTAAATTGTTTATCATTTATTATGCACTGGCCAGAAAATTATATGTACCACATTGTCAATTCCAGCTAAATACGAACTAATTTTAAGACTTAGCAAGAAGTCGAGGTAAGTGAATAAGTAAGAGCAAAATTATGTTTTATCTACATAACCTTACCATGAATATAATACCATGGCGAGAAAACCGTAGAATAGGCCACTTTCACGTTTTTCGAAAACATTTTTGAATTATTGTGTTAGCCATTCTTCCAATGACATTATCATCTGTATACTTTTTTCTCCAAAAAAAAACGCCTATTTTTTGAAATATGTTAGAACGATTTAAAAATCGAATTTTTAATGCAGGTAAAAATTAACAAGATTTTGCTATTTACGGAGATTAGTTCAGGCAGATGTAAATAATTATTTATGATGCTGTCTCTAAGTAACAAAACTAACCAAAACTAATCCAAATCGGAGCTGAGCAAAAGGTTAAGGTAAGGACAGCCTTAGGGTTAGTTTGGGATAGTTTGTTAGAGACAGCATCAAATAACTAGGCAAATAGCAAAATCTTATAAATCTTTAAGTTTTTTGCTACTTGCCATTCCACTTAGTGAACTACTAGAATTAAAATTGCTTTACGGTTTGACTACCAGAACCAAAATTAAACTAATATTATCAAGTAGCTTGATGGTGAGGAGCCAGGGAAAGTCAAAAAGATATTCGAGACTCTAGGCGCGAGTATCGAGCGTACGGTAATCTCAGTGATTTTCGTACTACCGTGCCCTTGATACCTGCCGAGGTCGGGTACCCCGAATACGGGTTACTGGACGCTCGATACAAAAATGCCTCCGGGAGATCCCAGATTGTTCCTTTTCTCGAGAACCAACCAAGTTCCTGGGTGTATATCTGGATGATGGCTTGAGATGGGACGCTCATACAGATTGTATGTCCAAAAGATTAAAGACAGCTATTTTTGTTCTGCGAAATCTGTCTGGTGAGGTGGCAGCTGGCGTGTTGCGTACTGCATACTTTGCTTTGTTTCACTCACTGATGACCTATGCTGTGGTGGTATGGGGTCATGCCTCAAAATGGCGGGAGGTTTTCTCTCTACAGCGTAGGGCCCTGAGAGTGATCGCTGGCCTCGAATATCAAGAGGACTGTAGGGAAAAATTTATGGAAATCAAGATTTCAACTCTTCCCAGCCTATATATAGGGTGTTCGGCACATGAGTAGACATACGTAAATATGAGATAGGTGGGGCCGTCTGCTATGCGATCCACCCAGATATTTTGACCTAGGCCCTAAGATTTTTTTTAGATTTCTTTTACATTTTTTTCCAAAATTTTCAATTTGCAGATTTTGAACTGAAATAACTTTTTGAAAAATCATGAAACTGACGACATTTTTATTTTATTTTAATCTAGACTAATTCTAGAATCATACAAATTTAATAATTGGGACTCATGACAGCTACAAAGAAAAATACGGAACAGGACCCGTATTTTTTCATCAATAAACATGCTATAAATTTTTTTCATCAAATTCGAGTGCAAATACTCACGAGTCGATTTTTTACTGCAATAATGCGATTCCATGCGTGGAAATCTTTTGATATGCTCTACTATAAGTTCTCTAATGTGTTGATCATTTTGTTTTAATTGAGTATAATGCCCTCCGCGTTTTTCGGATTCAACAATTCCAGTATTTTCTAACTTGCCTAAAGAAGTGCGTAGAAATTTCTCATTAACACTCAGAGTGTTTAAGAACATTGTTTTGCACACAGAAACTCGTGTATCACCTTCTGGTATAAAGTAATAATTACTCTTTGCTCGTCGGGAATCATGGTCACTACTTGTAGTTTTTTGTTTCGTCTATTCCCGTTTATATAAGCGGTGATAGATTCTGTTTGAAGCCTGTAAATCCCCTGTACTCCAGAAATCGTTGAGAATTTGTTGTCTATTTCATCCGTTATTTGGTCACATTTTTTTCCAATTTTTTTTGCATGTGCTACTATTACATCTGGATTTATCAACTCTTCTAGCAGGTACCTCTTATTTAGTTTTGTAAGATATGTAAGCTTCTCCCCTATTTCTAAATCGAGAGGCCTTCCGCTTGATGTTTTCACGCTTTTTACAAACAAATCGGAATCGTTTTCTCTACTGTTTCCTTCAACGACGAATTGTTCTGGTATTTCGACAATATTTTGTTTCGCGGCAGCTGGCAAAAGCGAATGCATTTTGTCACAAGTACCATTTTCGATAAAGTGCGTCCAGCACAACAAACGTAAGCACTTTGGGCAAGCAGCCCATACCTCGTCTTTACACCTAGGAACTTCACAGTGTTGTACGTAGGGGCGATCTTTATTCGAATCATCTTTGTATACTGTAGGCTCAGAGTTACTTATCTCTTGATTTTCTTCAGAAATCATAACGGCACAAGTCGATATACTTTTTTCTTTATTTTCTCCCACGTCAGTTACCTACTACATTCAAACAACTATTTCTTCGATCTAGGATTTTGTCCTTTACGGTCTGCAGAGGTTCATCGCTATCAAAACTCTCGTTGTTATCGCTTGGTGACATTTTTTCACGCAACTTTTTCAAAGGAATATCGAGTTATATTGTCACTACTATCTGAAACAGTAGTTTCCATTTCTAATATTGTTCCAAAATACAATTTCTTCTGTGGTTTCCAATGCCCTTTAATTTGCGACCCAATTTTGACACTTCCGACTCATTTACACATTGTATTTGACTTAATAAAACTATATTTTCAGTCCCATCATTCCATCTAACCACTGCATCCATGATAAGACGATAAACCGTGCAACCGTTTAACCTATGAAAATCAAGTAGAAGAGTAGACAAATAACCTTTTGGGGGCTGAAACTTACCACAACAATCACTGCACTAAAAGTTTTTATGTATTTTAAGCAATTAACTACTTAACATCAAAAACTAACAATATGCCGCTGAGCTCCATAGCGGTCAGTAACTTTTTGAGGTTATGTTTCGAGAAAGCACTGATGCTTATAGGGCAATCCAACGATCTGTCAAAAAAAAATCAATATGGATGCCAATGCCATGTGTCTGTACTTTGTATTGGTAGTCAATACTCAACCCATTTACTATCCTCAACTTTGTGTCGATACCTTGAATAGCAGACAAGTGAAATAAACATCAGGATTCAGGATTTGGTCAAGAAAAAACTAAACAGGAAACAAATCCTGGACCTGGATAGTACCAGCACCAGCTAATTGTTTAGTAGGTAAAGGTGTGTCACAAAGAAATCGTACCTATTGCCAACATCCGGGTTTTCCACTAGGTAATATCTTCTTAGATAAAAAACTCTCCATCTTAAATACAAAAATTATCCTTTCAAGCACTAAAAAATCACTTTGTAACACCACAGAATACACAAAAAACAGTCTTTTGTTAAAAAATATCAAGGTTGTTTGAATTAAATGTATGGCGCCAATTTCATTGCATGTCGCCTGGCATTGGCCGCCATTTGGATTGGATTGCCCAATGAGATTGCCCTATTAAATCCATTTTGGAGAAACAAGTAATGCGGTTTGGACAAACAAGTCATTGAGGCTTTAAAATGCTTTCAATATGTTTATTTGCGGCTCAGAGATGGAATAGGATTAGGAACTTTTGTAGGATTAAGACCTTTTGTAATTAGTATTAAAACTTTTTTTTACCTTGTGCTGTAAATAAACAATAAAATAAGATTCTCCAATAATTTTCAATGATGGCCCCTAATAGACCCTGGGCATATCTCAAATGTTTCCAATGGTGAATATGCAGGGGCGGATTAAGCCTTTTTTCGCCCTTGTGCAATTGGAATTATTTCGCTCTGGGCCTATTTCATAATTTTTTATTATGTCATTTGAAGATTTTTCAATATAAAAAAGACAAATACTATATTGAATTAAAAATGGCATGAGACAAGTTGATAAGTGCCAAGTCACCTGCCTTTTCATCTGAAAGCGGTTGGAAAAGGACCTCTCTCCAGACGCGTTAGTCGATGGAAGGCAAAGATACATTCCCAATGGTACCTCGATATTGGGAAATGTCGAGATTAGTTTTTCAGACTTTAAACTTTGTAGAAGTTCTCCCAAATTTCAGGTGCCATCGTGACCACTAGAAATCAGAAAATATTTATAGTGAAGACATTTCTGAGGAAAATAATCGACCAGATCGTTTTTATATGTTTCCCTAAGTCGCTGCGCTTTTGCTCTTATTTCTTCGTCAGATAATGGGCCTGTTCGGGTTTGAAAAACGGACCGTGTTCGTTTTTGCCATCATTTTCATCGATTTGCTCCGAAATTTTCGTGACTGGATCAGACAGTTTCAATTTACAGATTACGTGCCTGTCAAAATTTCGGAGCAAATTGACGAAAAAGATGACAAAAACGAACACGGCTTATGTGTAAGAAGTCGAGTTTTTGTAATTTTGCTGTCTGATTTCTTGATTTTTTTCCTCTTATTTTTTTAGGGATTTTTTTAAAATTTTCGCCCCCTTTGACTTTTCGCCCCTGGGCGATCGCCCAATTCCGCCTTATGGTTAATCCGGCCCTGAGAATATGACTAACAGGCGTAAATCAAAATCCGCCCGTTCGTCGTATTTCAAAATTTAATATTATGAGTTATGCCAAAACCTATTTCGTTTATCTGCAGACTGAGGGATGCGCCCGTATATTATTAAATAATAGACCTAAAATTAGTACCTATGTTAGGCTTATCTCAAAAACCTTATTTTTTGAGATAGGGATTTTTGACTTGATAGGGACGTAATAATGGCCGAGTACAGAAAATATCTCCCATATAGATGAAAAAGTTGACAGTTGTCACGTGTTCAACTTATATTTAAACAATATGAAGTCAGGTGTAAAAAAAATCTCCCATTTCCTAACTCGCCAAATATAGCATTGTCAAATTAGACCACCGCCATATTGAATTTAGAATGACTTCATTAATTGTGTTCCGCTTATCAAGCCCTTTCATTGGATACTCATATCATAGGGGTTGCTGTGGAAATGCTAAGCCTCCATTTTGTAACGGTCGCCATATTGGATTCAAAATGGCGGAATTCAGGTGATCGTGCATTATCACGTGATTCGTGAACCAAACGTGTGTGCCAAATTTCATTTGACTTATTATACAGGGTGTACTATTTAAAACGAAACAAGCTCAATATCTGATGCCACGTTTATTTTTTTTTTTTATCGCTCGCACACCGCACACGTTATTTGATTTTCAAAGGGAGAACTTTTCTGCAACCATTTTTATCACTTCAGCTTTAATCCTTTGAGCGGGGTAGGACCAACCCTTACCATTTCAAATAGAACAGCGGGTCGAGTAATATCTTTTTTAAAAGAGCTCTCAATTCTCTTTCATTTGATGTAATTTGGTAGAAAATTGAACGCTTTTTTAAAACAGGTATCACTCGACCCCTTGTTACGTGGGAACACGGACACTGCCAATTTGTTACCCACAAAACGCGAGGGAGAAGTTAATAATAAGATTTGAGGAAGTGAGGTAGTGAATGGGTAACTAAAACAGAGAAATAAAAAAAAGGGTTGGTTGGTGGCTGAAATCTAGAAACGTGACTTCGTGTAAAGGGTTGCCGACTAGCTTCCAATGCGGAGAGGGGTGTGGGTCAATTAAATAACTAAATATAGAGCGCCACCTGCTTTTTCCCTGCAGTACACGAAATCAACCGATATAACGAAAGCAGGAAACTTCTACGGACCTATAGCAGCACAACCTGAAATATAAACGTAAACAAGAAGGTAGGACAAAAGTGAAACGCTTTGCTACAATCAGGTACGGGTTTTAATTAGAACCAGAACAGGTTTACTTCAGAGCAGGTTCGGAGTGGGTTTTCCGAACGCTCTGGAACACTGACAATTATTAACACTAGAACCAGAACAAGAAAAGAAATCGTCTAGGAACTAGGAGTACCTAACCTTATATATGTTCTTAAATAGTATTTACAATAATTATTAAATACACTCAACTTGAGTCCCTAAATAAAATAAAAAAATAAAGAGTATTGCATAACAATTAACAGCAATAATACCTGAAATATAAATTAATAAATAAGCTTACTAAATGCAGTACCTTCGTAAATGGCCATTTAACCCCAGTGTACAAGTATTTCCTGTATTCAGTGCAGCATGTATTTATGGGATAGTTATAAGAGAAATATAGATCAATAAATAAAGTTGAAGTAACAATAAATAGCCTGAGGGGCAAATTTAATATTATGGAATAATATAGATGGTCTAGGTAAATACTTAAAATTGAAGTACCTAAAAGTACATAACCTGAATGGTAAATTTCATATAATAAAGGTAATAATTAATTTAAACTGAAATAACAACATCTAATTTGAAGGGTAATTTAATATTGTAGTAGAACTGCGTTGTTGTGGTGATCAACTCCAACAAGGGGTTGGTAAGGTTTGATATTAAGACAATACAACACACTTATCAAACCTGAGTAGTCCCTAATCTCTTGGGGAAACCTGACGGATGGAATTAATATTTTCCAGTGTTTCCGATGGCCTGGGACTGGATCAAGGCCGCAACAAGAAGCCACTGGCCCTGGGCACTTAAGTTCAGTAACTAGGAGTCACTAAAGCTTCTAATGGTCTAGAGGAGGCTGAAGATTGGAGGTACTACTTGAAACACACAGTAAGCTCAACGTTTAACTTTACTCAAGTTAAGGAATAAGCGGGACGAATAAAAGGTGACGATTAAAGCGTAACGTCTAAGACTGAAGATTAAAGTGTAACTTCTAAAGGTGATGAATAAAGCGTAACGTCTAAGACTGAAGATTAAAGGCCTGAAACAAATGGACATTATAAGACAGGGCGTGGAGCAATAGGTAGGTATGTCCAATATTCGGAATTTAACCATATTATTAACAGAAAATTATGCTTTTACATAGGCAATAGAGAAACACAGAGAAGACTAATAAGAAAAACGACTTACCAAAATACTTTGGCCTTTAGGAACAAACAATTGGTCACGTTGCTCTTTTTCGACTCACAAAAAAAATCCGCACAAGGCGATTGGGTGCTAAAATAACGGATTAGCCACCCTAGATCTATGAGCGAAAACTAGACAACTCAGAAAATCGGCAAAATGTGCCTGAGGAATTTTCCCGGACACTTAATCGTGGAAAGTTTTCGACCTGAATGACCTCTGCTTGTCCCTGCAATGTCTTTTAAAAAGGTTCTGTCAAAAACTCCAAGGTGGAAGGTACTGGGGATTTTGATGGCAGTTGGGGCATGGGACTTATTCAGACTAAGTTAGTACCGGTCATTGACCCTATTTGGAGTGCTGTCAATCTAGTCAATCTACTCGGATCAGACAATCAGCTGTTCTAATGTAAATATTGTAATTTTATTTATTAA